TTTTTTTTTTTAATAGTCATTATTTAAAAAAAAAAGTAATTTAATGTAGATTATGGTTATATTGTATATTTAGCTAACATTTATGTACTATATAAAAATTATAACAACATAAATAATAAAAAATTATTATTGCATTTTCTTTAAAGATTGACTAACTAACAACAAAAGTAAAAAAAAAAAGTAAAGTAAAGTGATGTGATGTGCTTGTATTTATTTTGAATATAATAAATACTGGAGCATCATTTTCAAATTAAATATATATATTAATTTTTGTTTGCATATATTTAAACATGTATTATGAATACATGATTATTTACACAATTATTACGACCAATAGATAGGGCTTATAAATTTTTTAAAAGAAAGACCATAATATTGATCCATATTCTAAAATGAATGTTACTAAAGCAATTTATATGATTTTAAGACAATTTGGGTTTCAGAATTCTTCATAGTTTACAAAAAGGTACATAAAGCCTTATTTTATATTTGTGTAATGTGTTCAGTAAATCATAAGTCAGATGATAGAGTAATTGCAAGATATTTAACATGATTAGATATCGTTATTAACACCAGATATTTTATAATTACAATTATTTGTAGATTTACGAGCAAAAGTCATCTGGGTACATTTTTGGGGGTTCACTGGCCGATCCCAAGTAGTTGGGATTAAGGCGAGGAAAAAGAAGAATTATTGAGTTCACACCAGTACCTAATTTATCTAAATCACTCTATAATCTTAGAAAATCACATTATTTATGAAGACAAACGATTAGAAAACTGAATTAAATATCTAAGATTATTCATGAGGATAATGATCTGTGACTCTTTGTGGAACACCAGATGAAACATAATTAGGTGAAAACCTCCCATTCAACGGAAAGACTCCCGATGATAGAGATAATAAAAAGTAGATGGCACCTGTTAACATTTAGTGACAAGAAGAATAGATAATACCAGGAATGCCAACGGGACCTTATTTAATACTGGTTCTTAATTCCAGTAGTCAATCGAATACTTCAGCAAGAGATATATTACAAGGCGAAAGTAACATGAAGTTTACCTGATTTACATAGATTTAATTTAGGCACTTAATATTGGGATGTAAAATTATCTCTAAACAAGTTAGTAATTCCAGTTAATTTTTTTAAACGATTATAATTAAACATCATAGAATTAGGCAACATATTTTTTCACTTTTCTCTTTAAAAAATTTCCAAAAATATTTTGGGTTATGAACAAGAGTAGGCTGAATGTAATTTAAATAATCTGAATAACATATTCTAGGTCATTTTTTTTATTTCAACCTCAGTCTATAAAACTCACTATAAAATGAAAGATTCCCAAACCGCTTAAAATCTCTGTGTAATGAATTTTTTTTTTTTTTTTTATTGCGAAACGAAGATCTGAAAATAGTAATTCGATCAGCTGGTACTAAACTAGTCGGTGACAACTGAACCGATAACAAACTAAATCTAAAGTAATGTTATTACAGTTTTCAATAGTATTTCATTAATAAAAATGTTGGAATGAAAAAAAATCAAAAATCACATCAAAATTAGCAAACTGTGAACCATCATAACATACTCACCTCCTTGTGTGATATATAGTTCATATATTAGAGGGGTCAGCTTATCGTTGCTATATTGGTGATCGACCGTTGTGTCATCCGTATGGATGGTAATGCGAGTTAG